AAAACTGAAAACATACCAGATGTTACAGTTTGTACCTCAGGATTCTGTTTCTCAAACCATGTACTCGAGCCAAGGCCTGGTCTGGTCTGATCTTCATCACCATTCTCTGAAGAAACTCAAACGAATACTTCATGTCATCTGGATACTTGAGATTGACAGAGTAGATGACACCCATAAGCATTGCAAAGCCAAGTGTCACATATTTAATGCTGTGAAGCACAATGGTCTCCTCCACCACAATTGCCACATCGAAGACCTCGTGTGGAATGGCCCCCTGTTCACCACCTTCACAGGCAATCAGGAGACCAWCCTGCATCCCCTTCATGGCATCATGCAGAATATCAGCGTAAGCCTTAAAAAGAAGAAATAATTAATGAACTTTGTGTGCAAGTAAAGAATGCAAATATTCAAGTCTTTATACTGCAATTTTTTATACTATTGTGAGGTTTAACATTTTGCAATGACAATATTTATGAATGTAGGCATGTATGTTTGTATTTATATCTTTATACAGTATTTGTATGGGTATGTGTATATATCTATATATGCCCTCCATGTATTTATCCATTTATTTTTCAGGTGAGAGGACAGATGTTGGGTGTGTGGTGCTGCGTTTTGTTGGTGTATATTTAATATACTTCTAATCTCTATTTCAATCTTTCTATCATTCTAATTACTTCTCTCTGTTTTTCTCTATGTCTCTATTTTCTCTTCACTTAAAAAAATCACTGATGATGAAGAAATAAATAAACTAAATAAACAAATATTTGGTTTCGTTTTCTACTGAAGTGACACAAAAAAAGAGTATCTTGAGTGGGTGCATTACCATTTAAATGGGCAGCTGTATCAAAGAAGACCACAAGGTCCTTAAGAGTGTGGTCCATCAGAACAACTGTACCGGACTGGCCTGTGGGATGTTTATCATAAAGGGTGCAGGTCAAAGTCTCAGAAGTTCTTCAAACAAGCCAACCATCCTGGACATTCAGTCCCCTCTTTGCTGCCATCAGGCCAAGGGTTTTGCTGCTTCAGAGTGAACACAGAGAGGATGAGAAGGAGCTGCTTTCAGTTTATACACCTGCTCAGTAAATGGCAGGACAAGTATTTTTATCTTTTATCTTTTGACTATGTTTATTTAGTTGCATTGAATCTTTTACAAATGATTTTAAATGGATTAAATTAAATGAATATTAAATTAAGTTTTTACGTTTTTAATTCCACTGCATATTACTGTATGTATGACTGCAGGCGACAAATAAAGCTGATCTTGTATCTTATAAAGATTATACACAGATTTCCCCCCCTTTAGCAAGTATGTATTTATTATTTATTAAGTTGTGTTGAATGTAACAACGGAAGGTTAAAAAACATTACAAATATACAATATTCATGCAGCGGGTAAAATAAGTATTGAACACGTCAACATTTTTCTCAATAAATATATTACTAGAGGTGCTAATGACGTGACATTTTCATCAGATGTTGGTAACAACCCAAGTGATCCATACATACAAAGAAATCAAACCATAAATGTCCAGAAATGAAGTTATTTCAAATAACGTGGAATGACACAGGGAAAAAGTATTGAACACATGAAGAAAGGAAGGTGTAAAAAGGCATGGAAAGCCAAGACACCAGCTGAAC